AACACAAATGCGTAACATTCACGATGTCTGCAGTTGCACTCTGGCATCCCTCACTACAGCGTTCATTAACGGCTAGCAGGTGTCCGCCCCAGCACACAGCCAATCGCCGTGAGAACAGGTTGCACGCATCTGCTGTGAACACAGCGCGAATTTCGCAACCCGGCGCGCCTTGATGACGACACTGCCGCGAGGTGCTGGCACCATGCCATGAGCAGAAGACTCGAGTGCACGTGCGGTGCCTTCATGAGCGGTGCCCGCGAGAACACCTTCGACTGCCCCTGAACCAGCGGCTTATCTCCGAGGTCGATGTAGCCGAATGTCTGTATAATTGGCGACTGACTCGTGCATAGCGACATTTGACGTTGCGAAATAGCTGCCGACTGTCTTTAAAAAGTGAATGGGTACGATCGGAATCCGATGCTCCTGGCAGGAATGATCACTCAAAATCACTTATGAGTCAATCGTGAGTTCCACCGACTGCCCATGACACATATCGAGGAGGCATCTACCAGCTACAGCTGAACCAGCACCATCTGATTCGCGTTCCAGCATCTGTGATCGTTTCCAGCAACGGTACTCAGAGCGCTGTCGTGAAATCGGCTCCGGGCGCCCAAGCGAGGCCCTGGAAGTGCGCTCGTCGCCGGAGACCTCACGTGCTGCCCACGAGGGCCTCATCGATCACTAGCACGTGACGTGGTGGGACGACGCGGGCTGGGATGGCAGAGACGGGAGAGCTAAGTTCAGGGACAAGAGAGCTGCACTGACTGGACGGGAGGGCTTGGCAGAGACAAGAGAGCTGAGCTCAGAGACAATTAAGTTGAGCTGATGTAAACGGGATATCTGAGGCAACAGAGATGAGAGAGCTAAGCTCACATATACGGGAGATCTAAGCTAGCCAGGAGAGCTAGCCTGACAAAAAAGGCAGAGCTGAGATAACAAAGATGACACAGACGGAAGAGCTGAGCGAATGTAGACTGGAAAGCTGAGCTATCAGCGACAAGCGAGCTGAGCTGACAGACGGGAAAGCTGAGCGACAATTCGGGAAAGCTGTAAGCCGTAGCGTGCTGACTAGGATAGACGTGATTCTGGGATAAGTCGCCGGCATCTAGACGCACTAGAGTAGGAGGTAAATGAATGGTACTCTTTGTTGATATTTCACTTTATAAACAATGACTTAATTACTGAGCACAAGACTCCTGGATTCGGTTTGTCGCTCCGCCGATTTATTCTGTATCAGTGTCTCGGACCACCCGGTTTGCCCGCTTACACAAACCGACAACCGCAAACGGCACAGACAGTGGTGCCCAACTATGATGGATGTGGGAGCCCGTCGGTCCCACTTATCCCACAAGTGGTTTGACGAAATCATCCGTCCACATAGCAAACTGGACGACTAAACGGAAACACTGTCCCACACGGGAGACTCGCGGCCTATCGCGCTCTTCCGGCTCGCCCGGGGTAGTGTTACAGTTTCTGTTGTCATTTCACCAGGGAACCTCTCTGGAGTTTCTCGGACGGAGCCGGCGCCCGGTGGGGACCCAGTGTGGGTCGGCTCTGCGACGGCTCGCTCTGCGGTCGGTGTGTGGGACGCTCCATATACGCGCCGCCCGGCAGCCTGTGGGCGGGAGTGGTGCTGGGCGGCTCCCCGCGCCAGTGAGCCGGTATGCGGGCCCCGCCTGCCGTCACAGGACACATATCCGGGCTGTGGGTCGGTCAGCGGGCCGCCAGGGCAGCCGACCGCGGATCTACCGGCCTGTCCCATCAACCCGCCCCACCAGCCAACGCCACCAGTCCCACAGAGACCGGAGCTGACCGCTGGAGCTACCAAATCTCTCAGGTGTTCTCTGCTACCGACCGGCAGTCTCCATCTAAACACCGCAGGTGTCAGCCGTGTGGGCAGCATGACGTCACCAACTGACGGTGACGTCACCGAACAGAGCACGACGAAAGCGAGCCGTGTGGGACGGCGTGGGTGCTGCGTTCAACAGGTCAGGTCAGACGAAGCTCTGATCAGCATGAGAAGGCACTGAGCTCGCCACGCTCGGCCGACCGCACGGTGCACACGGCAGAAAAACACGACAGCTGGCCCAATCTATCCGCGCAGCGTGGCTCCATTCAAAGCCTTACGCTCGACCCTCGTCCCCTCCAGTCGCCATTCTTATCTCCACTCTTCACTCTCAGCTGCATTTCCTGATCAGCCTGACCAGACTAAATGAACCACTGTGAGCTCACGTCGCAACTCCAACTCCACTCCGACCTTTCGCTCCGCTCTCGGCGACTGCGACGATCCCTGCCTGGAGGAATCGCCTCCAGACAGCTGGAGACCGGTTCGGCTAACCGGAGGGGCCTGACCTCATCACGAGCTCCTCCAGCGGCGCTGAGAGATAGCGGATGTCGGGGAAACATCGAGCGGTCTCACCGTGAGAGTATGGCGCCGGCCGCCGGAAACAGTTCGACACGGTCATCGGAGACCACTCAGAGAGGAGACCATGCAGTGGACCGGGGACCGTATGGACCGGGGTCGGCGACCAGATGGATTGGGTAGGTATCAGACGGTCTGGGGACCATATACGGTCCGGGGACTAAACGGGGAGCAAGGACCAGGTAGGAAGGTAATCAGACGGTATACCAAAGGGACCGTGATCAAGGAACAGACAGATCGAGACCACGAGGGACAGAGAGCAGAAGCTCGCGGACCAGTCCAACCGGACACCTGTTTGGTTGCAGACCTTGCCCAACTGCTTCCGTCTGCCTGCTGCAATCACTCACTGCATGTCAGTGAGAACGTAACACGCCCGTGTTATTTATTAACCCCAGCTGTACGGAACACTTCACCCAAAAACCATCAGTTGTCGCTCGCTGGGCCGATAACACGGTTTGCAGTGACAGGTGTAGGGCGGGTCCCGGTGGGAGCACGGCTCTCGGTTTGGGCGGGTTCAACTCCGCGCCCCACAGCGGGTAGTGAACAGGTGCGTGTACCTCTCCCCAGAGAGGGGAGGGGCGGCTCTCGCCGTCCGTCAGTCGAGCCGTGTTTGAGCTACTGACGACTCCCCACGCGCGGGGGAGGGGAGGGACGGCAGGTCTCCCCACTAGTTTCAGCACCTGAGGCAGTTCCCGTGACCTCAGTCAGGTCAGGTCGGCTGCAGCAGCTGTGTTTCAACCAGCTGGTGGTGTGTTGAGAAGCTGCTGGCCGCAGTAGCGGCGCGGCTGGTCCGGCGGCGGCTGCAGTACCCAGGTGCGGCAGGACTGACCGATCCGCCGCCGCCGCCGCCGCCGCCGCCGCTCGGCCTCAGCCCTCCAAATATGGGCCGTCCAGGCCGGCGCACGGCGCCGTGGCCTTGCTGCAGGGGAGGGGAGACTGGGGAGGGGCGCACGCCACTGTCCGCCGCACACTCGACCGGTTGGTAATACTGACCCGGTCAGGTGGCATCGGCGCCGCGTCACAGCGGACAAATATGGTCCTGCGGTCACTGATGATGAATGGGTCCATCTTGGAATCGCTGAAACTGAGAGTCGCTCAGAAAACAAAAGCGCCACGGCCACAGATTGGGATCTTTTGAGGCCTTTTAAATCTGAAGATTGTCAATTTATGGAAAGTGATAAAGGTTTTATCAGACTGAAGTGCCTAAAATGGAGTTAAATGGAGTGAAAGTGACTTCAGATAAACAGATGGCCAAGTAAGCGGTCTTGAACGGCGTGCAGTGTGCCGAATTTTGCATACAGGAAGTCAGCTTCCGATTAAATGTTAGATTCAGAATGCGATTTATTATGTAACAGAATCCATGGTAGGCACCTATTGCCCTTGGAAACCTCATGACATTGAATGCTGATCTTCCATTCCAGATCATCAACGAAGCAAAGCTGAGAGCAAAAACTTGTCCCACGCGTAAAAACTCGCTCCCTGGCTTCCGTCTTGGGCCGGTCGGTAGGCTCGTCTGCGCGTCTCCCAGACGTCACCAGACCTCTCACGATTCCCCTCACGCTCCGACATACACCCTCCGGTGGCACGCAGCAGCCACCGACAGTCGAAAAACGGGCCATTCGGACCGCTTCGCCGCAGTAGCCGCCTCGCACCGAACGTGTCAACACCGCTTTCGTCAGCGGCTGAACAGCGCCCGATCCCTCCGCTGACCCCGCTGCCACCCCTGTGTGATAAAAACACCGCACCGGGCTGGGAACAGCGGCCAATGACACCAATTGTCGGCGCACGTTGCACCCAACAGATAGGATCAGTGATTGTGGGGAGCCTCGGGCTGTGGTGCCCGGACGAGAGACATTTAGGTAATGTGATGCCATCAGTTTAGACAGAAATGACTCCCGGGAGCGCATGGATGTTGCGACATCTTTCTAAGGGGCGGGTTCTTATCATTGTTCTGTTTGGTTTTATGCTGCTATGAAAGGAATGCTGGAGCCATAAATGTTGACAAGCTGAAAACTTATCACGTGATTTAACTTTTCAGATCATGTTCCGCATGAAAAGAGCACCCATTCATTTGGCTTATCAACCTATCGCTGACACAATTTTCCCTTTATAGCCTCTGGACCAAAACAATATGATGACCGATATCAAGGGTCACATGGACTGCTGCCGATTCCACTGCTTTATAGGTGAGGATGGTGGGTCCGGCATTTAATTTTCCACAGGTGCTGAGTTTTATGTCGCATGGAGTGCACGGTCGGCTGCAAGGCAGCTCAGCCAGCACCCCAACCGACCACAGCACACCACAAAATTGCGCTGAATGAGCGACAAAGAAGGAAGGCCATTTCATACCTGAGAACACAGCGCTTCATAACAAACGCCTGCACTGGGATGACCTTGACCTATCCTCGACTCTGTCACCAGCTCTGGCGCCACCTGGCGTCAGCTGGAGGACTGAGCCTGACGTGACCTAACATACCAGACCGATCCGATTGGACCGAGCCTGGCCTTATCTGACCTGAGCCTGACCTATACCATCCAATCCCAGAATCGACCGGCGCGGTGCGCCACATCCTCTGACCTGTCTTTGTTGATAGTTGGACGACTGGGTAAGATGTGACGAGTGCTGGATGGCCGGCCGCTCGCGCACAGGTACAATCATCCTCCCATCGTGCTGTTCCATCATACTCTCCATCCTGGACTTCTGCTGGCCGTGCGACAGCGTGGTCGTCTTCTTGATGACGCGCATGCTGACCGACTTCATGCCTCCGTGCCTCTCGGAGCGCTGCATCTCGCTGGTTGACTGGTGGATGTCGGAGGCCATCCGACGGGAGGTGACCACCTGTTGCAGCTCCGGCACATCCTCGCGCTCCCGCACAGCGTTATAGTCGTCCGTCTGCCGGCCTCCCGACATGAAGAGTCGGTCGCCGCCCGTGTGGAACTTGTACATAGACATGGCGACGGTGGGTCCGGTGACGGTCCTCTCAGTCCTCACTCCTCTCTCAGCTCCTTACGGAGCTCACTCCGGGAGCCCGTGCTCCGGTTGTGGTGGTTCGTCGCGCTGGATCGTATCTCTCCGTCCTCGCGGGCGGCACTGTGGAGCGCCGCGCTGCGCGTGAAGCCGACAGGGCGGCCGCCGCTCGACTGGTCTCTCCAGCTCCGGCCGGCTCCGCCAGCCCCTCCTCCAGCCGCAGTCAGCCGGCGCCCGGCAATAATGAGATGCCCAGGGTCGCCGCGCGGCCGGCGCCGCCGACCCGGCTCGCCCACGTGCACAGCGCACTGGCCCGCTCGGCACGCACACGCACTGACACGCTGGCACCCACCGGAAGGCCGTCGAGTGGGCGGCGGCGTCGGCGCCCGACTGCGGGCCACTGCTCCCGCCCACCGTCGGCCGTCCGCGCGCCGTCGCCCGCCGCTCACCTGCCGAGCCCGAGCCTCGTCACGGCCCGCTACGTCACGCGTCCGAGCCATGAACTTGAGGTGATTCACACCACGGAGCGGTGGACGCCGGCTCTGGATACCACGGAGAGCTGGACTGGACAGTGGACACCACAGAGGGCTGGACAGTCAGGGCTGGGCTGGACACCACGGAGAGCTGGACAGTGGACACCACAGAGGGCTGGACCGGACATCACGGAGAGATAGACACCATGGAGGACTGGATAGTGGACAGTAAGGAGGGATAGACTGGAAATCACGAAAGGCTGGGCTAGACACCACGGAGGGCTTGACATGACGGAGGGCTGGGCTGGAAATCACGAAGAGGCGACGGCTGGAACTCACGAAGATGTGACAGCTGGAACTCACGGATCGCTGGACACCGACTGCAGCCGGATGAATGACACGGCAGCTAAACGGACTGCTGACAGTCCGGGAGCTGAACGAATGGTGCCGATGAGTTGCACCGTACAACACCTAAGTTCCATGCGAGAGACTTCATGCTCCATTGTGTGGCACCGGGAATTTTCCTTCTTGGAAATTGACGCGGCACATTGAATCAAATGCTGTAGGAGAGGATCAGCTTGTGAAGCTAATTAAATACATATTTCGAAGAAGCTAAACACGAGGAAAATATTTAACCATGTCATCTTGAATTTGTTCGCATCTCTCAGGAGCAGCATGGGTGATTAATGGTTAATGGTTACATTGAGAATAGAATAATCATTGGAATTCATTCATGGCTTACGAGGATACGCAGCTTATCTTTACCGGTATGTCCCGTGCTCCTGAGGCACTTGTACGAACCGCCAGCACACCACGCACAGAGAAATCCACTGTCTCCGCCCCGTCAAACTGGGCGTGAGCCTCTGCGGTTCTGGCAGCCCACGCTCAACAATGGCCTTTCAAACAATGGACTGTATCAGGGAGTGGCCGGTCCGCCCTCACGCACATGTCTCAGCCGTCCCAGTTCCTGTCTGTGGACCAGGTTAGGTTAGGTCACCTGTGGTTTCTGGTGAGCGTTAACTATAGGTCACCTGCGCTTCGGAGGAAACCTGGCCACCTGTGTTCTCGCGGATGGGCCCAGGTCCCGTGCCGGTCTCTGGCGAGTCCAGGTAACCTGCAGCCCTTAGTGACTGGCGGCAGCGTCGTCTCTGGTCCGGACAGACAGCAGGCGTGCCGGCCAACCACCTGTGCCCACATTCTGACCTCCAGACGACCGAAACCAGCAGATCCCGCCCGCTGCTGTGTTTTTCCAACGCCCCAACATCGGATAGAATCGGGAAGACGCCGACTGGGCTTCGCTTAGACAGATAGTCGCATGACAGTTTGCTGACGAAACTGACGTCCCAGGGAGCTCGGTCGGTGTTGCTAGACAGGCGATCAACTTGGCACGCGATACTCGCTAAAATAAGCCGCAGAACATCAGATGCCATGCATACCGGCTTTTGTATACCTCTGAATCGTCCTTCACAGATCATATTTCTGAGGAGATTCAACTGTGTGTCAACTTTCACAGCGTCCGTTGTTTCAACAGTCACAAACTATCACCTGTCGAATAAATCAGCAGGGCAGCCGCGCAGACTAAGTTGAAACCTCTTTTTATATTATCGTAATAGAGCGAGAAAGCTGATAAAATTATTTTTCCCATAGAAAAGGCCTAGAAACATCACATGGCGTCATAAAAGAAGATTAATTGGTACGAACAGTATACATGCTTTTTGTATATATGCCTACAAAAAGCATGCATTCACACAAAACGTTCCCACGTAACACCAGCGCACTCTCACATGCAATACGTACTTTTGCAGATGAATCGGAAGTCTTGATCGATGGTTCTGGAGCTGATGCCAAAGGCATCTCTGCGCCCTCCTTTATGGGCTCGGACTCTGTTTGAATAAATGATTGCACCGGCGAGTCAGACGATTCTTCTTGTTTGGAATCCACGGGCAAGCTCTCCCGTGTTGTATCTACTTCACCTGAGGTGCTCTCCGCATTGGGCGTTACAGTTTGTTCAGCATTTGAATCACTGGCATTCACCTCAATTCCTTCTACAGAGGCAGTTTTTGACATTTCTTCAGAAATAACTTCTGGAGCTACGCTAGGCTCATCATGCATACTTTCTGATTGGACAGGCTCATCTAAGTCAGAAATCACCTTGTCCGATTCGTTCGGCTCGTACTTTATCTCTCCGGGTTTGTTCGTGTCGTCTGTATCCTTCCCAGATCCGTCTGGTTCATCAACAACTTCTTTCACTTCTTCCAACACCTCTCCAATCTCTCCATGCGGACTGCTTTCAACCTCGGCGACCGTGAAGTCTCCCTCCGCGGTGACGTTCACCTCAGACACCGCCTGCCGAAGAGGACCCGACATCTCGTCATCCCTCTCCGCCATTTGCGGCCAGCTGGCATCCAGGGGCGGCACGCGATCCGGACTTCCCTCCTTGCTGACTGTCTCCGGGTCCGGACCTCCGTCCGCACCAACCGTCTCCGGAACGGGCACCAGTTCGGTCGCCTGCGCCCGCCGCCGGCCCGGGGTGCTCAGTTTGCGCAGAAGACGCATCCAGGGAGCAGGTTTGTCAGTCTTTTTCCGGCGCCGCGGTTCGAGACTCCACTCGGGTACACCCAGTACTAGGTAGTTCCGCTCCCACTGTTCGGTACAGGTCCAAAGCACGGGGCGGTACGGGCCCGGGTCCTTGCGCACGGGCGGGACGCGCTCTTTTGGCCTTGCTCGAGGTGAAGAGGTGGGCTCTGTGTTGGTAGTCAGTGAGCGAGCTGACTGAGACCTGGCACCGCCGAGAGGAAGGCCAAGACGTCGCTTCAGGCTAGCAAAGCTGCCTTGACTTCCTCGGTCATCAAGAGATCGGCACGACTGTGACTTGGATCCTATAACACCTTTCTGTCGTTCGCTCGAGAGAGCAGGCTCAGCTCCCGGATCAGCACACGTACCCTCAGAGCCCCGCACATCAGTCCCAGAGCCTGAGACTTTATCTCGGCTGCAGTGCGACGCATGTCTCCGTCGAGTTCCACACTCGGCGCAGGGTTTCTGCAGGTGCTGACGCAGCCAGGTGCCGGCATCCCCAAGGGACGGCCTGCGGCGACGGACGACGGACGGAGAGTTTGGCAGACTGGAGACGGGCGACGAGGGCGCAGAACCGGCGGTCGCGGCCGTGACGTTGGCCGAGGAGGGGTGCCGGATGGTGGGAGTACCTGGAGTGGCAGTTCCTGAAGTGGCAGTAGAGGAAGCAGCAGAGGTAGACGGAATCGCTGGGAGAGGACGTGGTCGGCTGGTGAGTTTGGGCGGCAGCGGTGGCGGCTGCTCCACCACCGGCAGAGGCATCGGTGGCCGGTTTTTCCGTCTGGCAGGTCGACTGGGACTGTCCAGGAGGCCGCCATTTACGTCTGAGTCTGTGCGCGACGCCATATCGCCAGTTCAGGCACAGATACCTGGAGCACAGCGCAGCAAACTGACCCTCCTCGAACGATCCTCACTACAGACGGTCCTCACCACTGTGCATCATGTATAAATTGTGCGTATCTCCTCAACACCAAAGCTTAGCGTCGTTCAGCAGTGCCGTGGAGGTCAGCGACTTCCGTCAGTGGCATTTTTTTCCGACCCACGGGACCTGAAGCGGACACACGTCTGACTGCACAGCTTGTGGTGCATCAGAAATCACAGGATTACGGCCATCACTTCTTTCTCACAGCAATATGTGCTGAGCAGAATGAACTGTCGCTGTCCAAGCTCTTCGTGAAACGTCGGCAGGAAATAGGTCTTGAAAGAGCAAACGGATTTGCTATATCACAGACTTTACCACAGTTGCTACCGAGGCATCTGGCCAACAGCCCGAAGCTCGAAGTTCTCAACTCCTCAGAAGTCCACGTGTTCAACCCTTCCACTTCCCTCAATCGTTCTGAATCGCTCCGTCAGCCATTACTCCGCTTCCTCTCTCACCAATCACTTCTCTGTTCCAACTCCCCACTACAGATCCCGTCAGAGCAGCACGACGTCACATCACACGAGCCACAGCCGACACGCACCGCTCCGGGCCACACCTCCCCGCGCCGCCGAGCGCCACCGTCGTGGCCGACGAACTGACTTCTGCCGTCGACGCCGGCAGCGAACGGAGACCGCGCGAGGGCCCGAAATAGCCCGCGGGCATGGGCGCCGGGTGAGGTGGCGGGGGACGGGAGGGTAGGTGACCTGCAGCAGCGCCACCGGTAACCCGCGACTGCCAGACGGACAGACGGCTGCCGGATGTGCGCCCTGTCGCTAGTATAACGTCCGTGGAGGGTCTCGCATCGTGTGTGAAGGAGGTGACGGGTAGCGGTGACGCCCGAGACGGAGTAAGGTCACTGGAGCACGGAGGTAATGGTGAAGGGAACGAATTGGAAGATTAGTGCATTTACCAAATCGTTGGCGAGACTCAGGTATTTACTTAATTTGAGAAGCAATAAACTTTAAGCACTGCTCCCAAATTGAAACGGTATTACCTGAGGAAATATCATTTATCGAGGACTTTTGTAAGCATTCAGATTCAATCGCTTTCATGCGAATAATTATTTTCTGTACGTTATTTAAAGTCCATCCGAATACATTGTCAGCCATGGACAGAGAATGTTATTTACAGAACGTAAACACTGGACGGATAAATGTCTGAGTTTAAATGGCCGCGCTCTGGCCGGCCGAGTGTCGCCGTCTGCCAAGGTCGGTA